CACATGAAACTCAAAAATTTGGAAAAATTTATTTCCAAAATTTTCATTGCCCCGTTTTTATTGGCCAGAGATCACATGTTTTCTAAAAAATCGCCAAAAAATTTGGAAAAATTTGGCTAAACCACGAAAATTTGGAAATACCAAAATTAAGGCCAAAAATTTAGAAAAATTTGGAAAAATTTATTTCCAAATTTTTCCGGGTCCCTGCTGGCAGGTCATGGGGCATCTGTGTAACCTCAGTTACACAGAGGGATGCAAACCAGTACCGGGCAGTGCAAACCCAAGATAAGTTCTTGTGGTAATATAAATCTGTAGAACTAGGAATAACCAGAGCCCACTTGGGAAGACCAGAGTAGAGAGATAGCACAGATCTTTGACAGTATTATTGTAAAGGCTAGACTGAGAAAACAGATACCAATGTGAAGGAATCAGATAGACAAAAATCTCTAGGTAAGGGTACCACCAACCAGGCTACTGGGTCAAACTAAAGGAAAAGGATATTGGGCCAGACTTGATATACCAGGGACAGATCACAGTCCTTTCAAGCTATCTGGATTTGGAGTCTAAAGACAAAGCAAAGGTATACTAAAGTACTAGAGATATGCTATGAAGTAGGTACTGGGGTACAGGTGAACTCTGCAAGGGCAAGCCCAGTTAATGGTCTGTAGAGTGGGTAGGTTAGTTAACAGAAGGGCTTTCTAAACTTTACAGTCAGGTGATGTGCTCTGAAATTGGATAATGGCTTGACAGATGTACAGAAAGAGAGGCTTAATGTTAGGTTAGATGGCATTAGTTATATGAGAATTGAGGAGACTAATTGTCTAGGTGCAGTATAGGAATCAGAGTATTTAATTAGATAGTCTCCTAGTAGATTATAGGTATGGCAGCTAGTGTAGAACCTTCAGATGGACTACTTAAAATAGATAACCAAAAGTTACACATGTGGCTAGTTGCTCACTTACTCTGTACAAGTAATATATAATATATTAACTAAAAACACAAATAAAGGCATTAGCCACCATTAACATCAGCCTTTATAATTAAAAAAAAAGAACATGTTGATCAATTATAATACCATTCTAAAAAGAAACTCACCTATTTACTAAAAAGCTCCTTTTTGAATATATAATTATTATAAGTGCTTAATGTATATAAGCTTCTCTTCTATAAACTCGATTCTATAATAAATAAAAAATATCTTATTTTCTCCTGACTAAATCTCTTACTCTGTTACTTAATAATTACTTATACTTATTACTTAAAATCTATCCGTCTTCATATCATTGCAATTTAAAAAAAATATCCTGTTATTTAGATACTATCATAAAAATTAAACATGTCAAACAAAATGAAACAAAAGATATAAAAGCCGTTTCAGTATGGGCTATTGGATTGTATCCTGTGAGATATGAAGATAATGAAGTAGAAGTTGTTCTATATGTACCAGTACTTCTAGCATAATGACCAGGTATGATTTTTCCACCGATGAAATAGTATTTGTCTCTTCTAAAATAGCCTGCGTCTCAGGATCTCATTCAACAGATCTACATAGACCAAAGGTAAACAATGATTATACACTATTATATATATATATATCATAAAAAAGTATAGAATTATTAAAAACAGTAACAATAATAATAAACTATAATAATTTAATAATAAAATAATTATCATACCTAGATGATAGTTGTGATGTCAACTCATCTAACTATTTTTGATAGAGCTTCAGATTCAAATAAGTGTCCTTTAAAAGTGTCTTTAATTGAAACTCCACAAGAAAAACTATCTCCAATTGGAAATACTAATAATTCTATTATTGAAATGCTTATAACTGACTATATTAGTCAAGATTACGAATATACAATCTACGTAGTTTTTCCCCATAGCAACCCACACTTTGAATATCTCAAAACATCTATATGGCAATTTTTATTCGATTTGAGGTTTTGAAGATTTCTTATAAAATAAGCATTTACAATAATGACAACTTCACTTCAGGTTAGATCTACTGCCTCAATAACACTAGTATTAGCATTGTACGTATTATTTTTTCATCATTAATTTTTTTTTCTTTAGTTTTTTTTTTTTCTCTTTTATTTTTTTTTCTTTCCCTTTCAAGAAATTTGAGTTTTAAACTACTATATTATTGTTCAAAATTATAGATAACGAATTTCTTGACTATGAATATTTTGAATATCAAGATCCCGACTTTGATTACGAGATATTGGATGATAATGAAAGCTATCTTGAAAATACATCTGAAATACCTTCTAGTCCAAAAACTACAACCGATGAAAGTGTAACAACTGATAACGAGTATGCTAATGGCTTTACTTTTGATGAAAGAGCTCTAAGTCATGCAAAAAATTTTGCAGCATCCTCTATTGAAGATTTAGAACAAGATGAAAAGGACATTAATTGGTTAACATTAGATAATAATTTGCAATCAGAGGTTGAGTCTATGTGGACTCTGCCAACAGATAATAGTAATATAATTGATTATGAAATAGGTGGTGAAATAAATACAAATAATTTAAGCAAAAGTAATGAACAATGTGTTATTATTGATTATGCTGAAGGGCGTTTTCAACGTTGTTTAAATCTTGTTTCAAGACCACTTAAGCAACTTATAGGAATTTGGGAATTAGATTTTCAGATTTTAGATGTAGCAGTTAAGAATAAAACAATAAATGCATTAAATAACTTAGGTGTTTGCTCCAACTATTTTTTTTTTTTATCAGAATAAACTTTATTCATCTGGGTTAAAGAATGAAGTTTCAATTGACAAAAGTTGTATCTATAAGCAGAAATGTATGTTTTGCAACTCTGATAGATACTTTTTTAGTCGAGGAGAATGTTGTATGCAGCATTTATGGAAAATATTTGGGTGAAATATTTGTATTCCTTGCACTGGATTAAAAAGTTTGTTTAGCATTTACTGAGAGAAATAATGAATTTGTTAGATCAACCACGAGTCAAAAATGATCAAAATTTGTTTGCTCTCGCTGCTTTGATAATGAAGGTGGGCATTTTTTCCAATGAAAAAAAAAACAATCTTCATGTGCTAAAAAACATGCAAATAACAATCAACTCTCGCTTCATCTTTTGGGATATTGGATTCAAGTAATAGCAACTGATCAAGATCAGCAACTTCAAGAAATGCTTTTAGAAGAAGTCTGATTGGTGATTATTAGATTTTTAAATAAAAAAGCAAACATTGCTAAGGTATCAATAGACAATTCGAAAGAAGACCAAGTTAATAAAATAAACCCACCAACATATTTTGGAATTAGAACTGCTTTTTGTATAAAAAAAGTTAATTTGTATAAATTAGAAAAAAAAAATTCAATATACCGATCTTATAATTAATGAGCCACAAAAGCTAGGTGAAGCTTTAGAAACTGTTGTCTGGAAGTCAAAATCAGAAGTACGTGCACAGAGAGAAACACTTGAGGCACCAAATACTTTACAAGAATTTCACAATGCATTTCCTAAATCAATGAAACAACTATTTAATAATTTTGTCATTTTCATTTTGCAAAAAAAATGGGAAATAGTACAAAAAAAGTATATACAACGCAGGATGATTCTAGCAGAGTTTAATACCACAAGAGCCATAAAAATTTTAACTTTTATAATGTCATTAATTTTTTCAATAGCATTTCCGGGTATAAATATTTGGCTCTTACATATAATGAGTTCCCTTTGTAGAAAACCTAGACAATTAAATTCACTTTATGCGATTTTATGTACTGCAAATGTTGTTTCTCATACAAACCGCTATGAACGCAAGTTAGAAAAACAAAGAAGCAGTAATATCGACATATCAAAAAAATTGTTATATGGAGAAGATATTTGGAACCTATGTATAATAGACAATATTGATTTTAAAGAAAGCACATTTGTATACGATAACATATTTGATGTTCCAAAACGCATAGCACATGCTACACTTAGAACAGTTTTTCAGTTCAAATTGCCACAGTCTTTATCTAGCATTGCTAAACAATATAATTTGATATTTGAGTATGAATTTTAGGTTAGAATATCAGATTTTATGAAGAATAAACTTCAAAAATTTGAAGACACATTTAGTTCCCTTTTAGATTTTAACAATAGTTTTAATATTTCTAAATTGCAGCACAAAACAAAAAAAGAAATTCAAATAGGATGTCTAGTTGATCCACCGAATGTAGTTATTTTAGAACCTGGTATGAATCTGTGTAATAATAAAAATATCCATAATGCAGCAAAAATGTATAATAATGATGTAGGACTTGACTGCACTGGAAGTCTTTACTTAGCATGTGATGAATCTATCTTCTACAAAGTTATATGTGACTAATCCAGAAATAACCTTGCTTCTAGATGGATGGCATACTTTTAAAAATATGTGTGCTACATTAATTCGTCTTTTTTCAGCTTATGGAATTTTTAAATTAGCTGCTATTCTAGGTGTATCTTATCTAAAAAAGCTTGAAAAGATAGTTGACTACACCGCATTTTAGAATTATTGTGGATTGCAGTGGGTAATGCTCTTTGTCAATATACAAAAAACTGATCTATAAGAATGTGTGATATTCAGAGTGATAATAATAATATAGTAAAAGTTTGGTACTTGTTTTTTTGTTGGACAGGTATATGGTTAGGACATAAGCTTAGAATTTGTTATGGAAGTTACGAAATGCAAATGGAAAATCTTATTTCATTTGTCCCACTTTTTCCAGAAATAAGACACAGTAATTATGCACAGTCTATTACATATTTTTTGTTATATGTTGGGAAAAATCCCATCTTACAACAAATACTTCGACATGTTTGTTCTGTGAATTTAACATGTCCCAGTCATTACTTTGCCTTTGATGAGGCACTTGAAAGGTTTGGTGTTAAATTCGTAAAGCAAAACATTGTACCTACCTTTCGATCACATGAAGATTTGAAATTAAGAATTATTTCATTACAAGCGGATTAAATTTGCTTTTAAGTGAGTATATGGATAAAACCTCATTAGTACCAACAGATCGACCCATTAAATATCGTGAAGAAGCCCTTCAGAATCTAGCAAATCTGTTGTTAGAAGCATTTAATCAACCAGATCCTACTCAACATCAACTTTTCAAAGAAATGTCTCAAAATAATGAAGAAGGATTTCAATGTCTTTTTGGATGTTATAACAAGAGAAGAATTCAGTTACAAGATATTTACAAACAAAATCAATGCTGCGTAATACAAAAGGTATACATGCCGTACAAACGTTTGGGATTTGGGATTTTTCCATGGACAAACCCGGACAAATGGGATTTTCCAATTATATTTGAAATCCTATAAGCCCAAACTGGACAAATCCCAATCCCAAATTCCAAATCCCAAATCTATCCCAAATCCCAAATATCATCCCAAATCTATCCCAAATCCCAAACCTAGCTTCACAATCTTGGTATAATAACTCTACACTAGTGTTTCGATCCTACTTATTAAAGGCTATTCAGATTAAATTCAGAACCTGCTTCGCATATCTGATTAATAATTCGGATTCAAGTAAATTAGCAAATTCGGATTCAACAATATGAAACTTAATGCTAGACATATAGCTAAGAAAATAAACTACAACGTTAAACATTCATGAGCCTAAATAACTTATCTTAAAATACATGAATTTATAATAATTAATTGAAGTATTACATAATGATAAATAAGCAGTTTATTATTCGCATATTAAATATATCGATTAATCAATAATGTTTACTTATCCTGTTCTTGAGCGCCTCCCACTATGGTTATGTAATAAAATGCATATGAATTATGGATTCATCCGTCCAAAACTGACGGATACGGATATCCACATTTAATCCGAATTGTCGGATCTATCCGAATTATTTGGATTACACTAACCCAGGTTATAACTCCAAACTTTTATTTTAAACTAAATACATTACTGCATTATAAATAAAATAATACAATTTACCACGGCTTGCAAATTGATGTATCTTTGAGCAGATCGCAATTCACACATACATTATTTTCATTGAATTTTAATAATTAATTGTAAGACACAAACCGCAATAAAAAAAAAATACATACGTATTTCAAAAATATGATAGTATTAAAAATCTTATTCGTGCTTCGATCAAACCTAGAACTCTTTTAAATTTGACAAGCTAAGAACTATATTCTTACTCGAACATTTACAATTTATAAATCATTTTATTATTATAATTATGCATAACATAAAGTTTTAAATAAACAGCCAGATTACAATAAATTGTATGACCCCAGATTCGTATTGATCTTTATTTAAAAAATAAGAAATAATGAGCAGAAACAACATAAATAGATTTAATATTTAGTTCTTAGTGAATCCCTATTTCGAAATACAACAATAATAAATGATTCATCTCATACCATTTTCATAGAATTATTGAGCTAGTGTGTGTTAGTGTTATTAGAAATACAACGATCGTTAAAATAATAATAATAATAATAAGAACGTGAAATTAAGAATAATACTGAGATTTGAATTTAAATCATCATCAAATTGTCAGACGATGTATAATCGAATCCAACTCTCTAGTAAGCACAAAGAATAAATTTAAAGATACAATTTCCAGTCCGGGGGAAGTTGTCCCATTACTTTATAAAATCTGACGCGGCGGTGTATTCTTGACTTGATCAACATCAAACGGAATTTGGCAGCTTTATTAACGATTACATTCCAAGTACTTTCAAACAGCGATAGCTTTCTTGATCAAATGATAAAGGTCTTCAGGAATCTCGGGTGCTAGACTTTAAAAAAAAAAATCAATATCATAATATCAATACAATTACTCAGGTAAAATTTTTTTTTTTTCTTAAAACAATTGCTTTACCGTAAGACTTCAAGATTCTAAAAATTTTATTCACCATAATGTCTTTAACTGGTTTAAAATTATACAAGTTCCGAAGGAATACACAGAGCTGTGAGGGTGTTAGACCCTTTTTTGCAAGTTCTAGTACTTGCTCACAGATATCTTGAGGTGTAATTCCCATCTACAGCGATATATGATGGTATGAAGAAATAATGGTTACAGTAACTCCTAGAAATATACATAAGCCCTGATTTTACCTTAGTTGCTTCTCCCTGGAGAAAAAAAACACTACACGCTATTTATTGCTTTCCCTGAAAAAAAAAAAAAACTATGCTTGGAAGAAATTATTTGATTTCTTGGTATATATATCTATATTGGTTTTTCAAAGCCGTAGATCAAATTACGATCACATTATGTGGCACAATTCATATAATTTTTACCTATTCGATAATTTCCACCACGAATTTCATTAGGAGCCTTACCTTTATAATAAAACAATTTCCAAGTTGCAGAAGTAAAAATGTTTTCGAGGTCATAGGGTTATTTATTTTTACTTTGCTTTAACTGATAAATAATAAAAAATTAACATTATATACTTACTAGTAGGCAGCGTAATAATCAAGTTAAAATATTATTATTAGATAAGTTAACTTCCGATTTTCACTAATAGTAGAACTTTTTTTTAGAAAAAATATTTTTACTCAATTCTTTGGATTGGGTGTAAATTCTTTTTAGTAATCAGAATCATCACTAAGTAAATCATTTACATCGAAGTCTTTATTCTATATACAATTTTTTCAATCGCACTTGACTCATTAATCTCTAATTTAGATGATAAATTTATAATATTTTCGACTTCTAATTTTGTCGAATTCTCTCCCACTAAGTCATCCAATTCTGAAAGCTCTTCTACGTCCTCTTCCATTTGTTCTGAAGTTCTTCAAGATAAGAAAATGGTTCTTCCTTACTAAACAGATCAGATCCATCTTCCATAGAGCTTGCAATTTTGTTAAAAATCGCTAGAAAATCTTCTTGACGAAAATCTTGTTCTATATAATTAAGTTCTGACCCAACATTTTCAACTAGATATGAATACATCTGGGCCATAATCTCAAGACGATCAAGGCTCAATCTAATGTAAAGAAAATGAAATTTAAAAAAATCTTAACGTTAATATATGTTTGACAAAATTATGTAAGAATTGGCTAATCAAAATTGCTTATATAAGCATTAAAATTATTCTGAATCGAGCAAAATTTTAAAACTTGAAGTTTTAAAAAATTCACTAAAAAATATTGCAGATTCGACCCCATATACTTAAATTTTATACAACATAGAGAAAAATGAACTCGCCTAGTTCGCCTTTTTCCAAAATACCATCCTAATATACTAAAGAGACGTTCACATGCAGCATTATGAGGGAAGATAGAATGTAGCTTCATAGCAAGGCGCTTGATATGTTCTTCATTATTCTTAAGATCTATGGACATCCACCAATTAGTAACTGTATCAACTGATGCGATGAATTCATCATCGAAGAGATGTTTTTTGTTTTTGTATAAATTCATTTGGGCTTTTAGAAAATCTGCACTTATATCACCACCACCTAGTTGCTTCCATATTTCTAATGCTTTTTTTTGAACATGTTTTTTATATATTCTGGGTTCAAGAAAATTACCTATTACAAGAAAAAAATAAAAATAATGTAAAACATGTATTTTAAAAATATTCAAGACATATATAACTCTTAAGTACCGCGATAAGCTGGGTGCAAAAAAAAAGACAAGAGATATAAATCTATCAAATTCATTCCAACGCTTATTGTAAATAGAAATGCAATTACGCCGAAACTGGTTATTGTACAACACAGAGGTTTCTTGAATCGTGATCGCCATTTTTACAAGTTCAACGAATACATCTGCTAACAAAGTTGTTCAAAACTCCACATCTTTTACGGCCCATTTTACCGGGCCAAGGATATTCCACAATTGCTCTGCATCAATCCAAAATTGACGATTAGTAATTAAATTTTTTACTGCAATTGAGCGATCAAAGACTTGAGCCTCATTTTCTAAAATCTATTATTTTATTATTAATAAAAATATTGTAAAATAGAAATATATACAATGAAATAATATGTATATTAAAAATTTAATTGCAGTAGTACTGATCTAATGTTTGCTTCATTGTGTAAAACAGATTCACAAGAATCCCATGCCGTTGACCACTGAGTTTTAGCGGTTGATTTTAAGTTTCCACTGACAGTAAAAGATGATACAATCTTTTCTCTAAGAGCAGTGCCAGCTGTATAAGAGTTTCTAAAAAAACTTATTATGAATTGACAATTAGAAAGAACCTTACATGTATGAGGTAAACGACAGATACTATTAGCAATTAATTGTATATAATGCACAATGCATCTGATAGGTAAAATGTGAGAAAATTTTGCTGCAACTTGTCGTTTTGCCGCCATCATTGCCGATTCTGCATCAGAAACTACAGCAACAAATTTTTCGGGCCTAACTTTTTCTAGTACTTCTAATATTTTTTAGTATTAAAATTTGCTGTATGAGAATATATTGAAAAATCGCGCAATGAATAGATATATTGCTTCCTATTATCTGTCATTATTACAAATGCATATATGCTATACTTCGTTGGACTATACCAACTATCTACATATAATGTAAGGTTTTCTGCTTTTGATAATTCTTTTTCTATTTTTAGTGTAATGTTTACTGCTTCCATATCCAGAATTGATGATGCTAATGAGGTTCGCTTAGGCGAATTATACCCAGGATTCAATATTTTAGTATAGTTCTCAAAATATGGACAATCGAATGCAGAAAATGAAATATCAAAACACACTATCTATTTAATTAGTGCTTTGTTTGCTCTGGTTTCTTTAGCTTCATCGATGGCTTCTTTTGGGTTGTAGTAAGCATCAAGAGGTAATATGGAATTATTTGATTTTCTTTTTTTTAATGTGGATGTTCCAGATTGCACATGCTCATCCTTACTTTGAATGTCCTGGAGTATTTTAAGTCGAACTTCTTTGGGTACTTTTCCTTTACATTTCAATGCTAGATGGGACTTCATGTCCTGAGCTCTTCCTCGAGCCCATGATACAGAACAGTACCTACAATGTGCCCCTTGTGCTTCCCTTTTCTACTGTCTATTACATCATACTTATTTCAAATATCTTTTTGGGGTCGTCCCCCCTTATGCGATAACTTTATGGAGCTATTTAGTTCAGATTGTGTAGATTCTGTATCGCTAAGTAAAACAGGGTCACTTGAAATTCTATTTATACTTGTTTCTTCATTGCTTGAAATTCTACCGATACTTGTTTCTTCGTTGCTTGTAACGTCTTCCATTATTGTAAATTTTTTTTTTTAAAAAAAAAAAACAGTATATGCTAATTTGAAAAAAAAACTCTAAATTTTACTAAAAAGATAATGACACCTATATATATCTACACTAAAGTTAGAAAAATTTAATACTAAAAAAAAAAAAAGAAAATTTTTTAAGAATATGATTTCAATACAAATTTAATTTTTTTTAAAAAAACAAAGGATTATAGTGAGCAAATTTATACTTTAATATTTAAAAAATTATTTGAGAATTACGATTAAGAAACAATACTTCTAAAGTATCCATGTCTTATTTGATTATTCATATTCATATTTGTTTAGCTTGGGATTATTCAATTTAAAAAAAAAAACAAAGAATTGTAAGCGAACAAATTTATATTCTAATATTTAAGAAAATTACGATTAAGGAACAATATTTCTAAAGTATTCATGTCTTGTTTGATTGTTCATATTCATATTTGTTTAGCCTGGGATTATTCATTAATTGATATACTCAAAGTATGCTATTATTTATCATATCGCATAGTCAAAAGAGCAGCCTTCAATCGTAGCCTTCAATCAAAACGTTTAGATAAGAGAATTTGAAGATAGTGAAAGACAGTGTAGGAAGATAACACAAGATTAATTTATATGTATCATATGTATTAACAAAGAATCATTATTCTGGTTTATATCGAAGCATATATACTTCTGCACATATATATAGTGTGGGAAATTTAAAAACCACAATCACTTTATATAGAATAAAGGTCAACTAGCTCACAGGAAGTGATCTAAATATGCAACTCTCAATAGCAGCTTATTTCAGTATGTATATAATAGTTACTCTTAAGTATATTGTATTATTCTTTGGCATATTATCTTTATGCAAAGAGGTTCTAGACCATTATTTAGATTGATAATTTATGATATACTCAAAGTATGCTATTATTTATCATATTGCATGGTCAAAAAGAGCAGTCTTCAATCGTAGCCTTCAATCAAAACGTTTAGGTAAGAGAATTTGAAGATAGTGAAAGACGGCGTAGGAAGATAAAACAAGATTAATTTATATGTATCATATGTATTAACAAAGAATCATTATTCTGGTTTATATCGAAGCATGTATACTTCTGCACATATGTACTGTACATACATAACTATCATGATAACTACCGAATAGAGGTTCGACCTGAAATTCAAAAAGGAAATTAAAACAATAATTGATCAAGTGATATTGTTGCAGTTTCTTTTTTGAATTTCAGTTCGCATCTCTATACCGAATGAATAGTACTGTGCAATATTTAATAACCTATGGCATGATTATAAACCTTATTTTCAGGATCGCCCATAAAAAAAATATCGCTGATATCACAATAACGATATTAATTTTTTGCACGATACTTTTTTCCAAGCAAACCTTGGATCGCACATAAAAAAATATCACTGATACCACAATGACAATATCGATTTTTTGCATAATACTTTTTTTTGAGCAAACCTTGGATCGCACATAAAAAATATTGTATAATAAAAATAAATTATCGAATAAAATCTATTATTCCACGTCTCATTATGATCGCATGACGGGGATTTACGTGTTATTAATCATAATTTTTATCATAAAATTTTTTCTTTCTTTTTTTTTCTTATTTGTTATTTCCATGGGGTGATAACAAATAAAGCCGGGGTGATAACAGGAATTTGTTATTTCCCGAAAAGTTAAAAATATAAAGGGAGACAAAGAAAATGATAAAAATGATTAATAACACGTGTCCCTGTCATGTCGTCATATGAAACGTTGAATAACTCATTTATTCCGCCGTGCCGGGGAAATAATTAAAATATTTCCCCAGCGTCGCATTATGGGGCGCAAAGCGCCCCACATATGCTGCTGGGGAAATATTTCATTATTCCCACCGTCCCGGGGAATAAATAGTACATATTCACAAAAAAAAAGTCTTCGAAAATAACATTATCGGTAGTCTAAAAATAAATTTAATTTCAGTAATGATGTTAGCGAATAGTTTGGGATTTGGCCATAGTTTGGGATTTGGAATCTAGGATTTGGGATTTGGGATTTGGCCATAGTTTGGGATTTGACTATAGTTTGGGATTTTGCCAAAGTTTGGGATTATAACAGCCCAAATAAAGTTTTTCCGGTTTGGGATTTGGGATTTGGGTTTGAGTGGGATTTTATTAATTTTTAGTTTGTGCGGCATGTATAACAAAAGGTCGATGCAGTCTAGATGTTGTTATTGAAACTTCTGCTCAACAAAAGGATCAAAACCAAAAAAATAAAAAATAAAAATAAAAATTAAAGTTTAGACATCCATCACATTTTTATCATATAGAAATTATATATTGATATTATTTTTTGAACAATAAAATTTAAAATAGTATTTTTGCTTTTGCGGGAAAATGGTTCTAATCAATGTAGTTTTTGGTATTGTAAAGTTATGTCATATGACTTGATAAACAAACCCGTATCTGTTCGTACGTCAAATTTACATGTCAAACAAGGAAGGACAAGTTGTAATAGAACGAAGATCCTTTTAAATTTTATTTTTAATTGTGGTCTAAACCTTATACAAAAGAATGTCTAAAATTAAAAAAATACATATTTAAAATCTATAATAAATTACATTTTGTACTTATTTGTTAAATAAAGATTAAATGCATCGATTTACATAAAAATTATGAGCGACATTTTAATTTGACTAATAAGGATTAGGGACATTTCCTGTAACCGATATAATAGATATAGAATAGATATAAATACATACTAAACTGTGCAATGTCCGAACCAGTGCAACAATTCCAATTTTTTTAAATTAGTAATGAATTTACCTAGTGCATCTAACACCCCAACGTATAGCGATACGTAGCGATAGACCTTTTGCCCAAAAGGACAAGACCGTCCCAAATTAGGAAATTATTCCAATATGGTTTACATTACTAAAGAAAAGTTTTATACGTTTTATACTTTTTTTAGGGGCTTCAGGTAACCTATCGTTATCCCTTGAACCAATAAACCAAGTAGCTTAAAGCTTTTGTGCTATATAATATCTGGTGAATCCTTCTGAATCACTCAACTTTTATATTGTGATTTACCTACTGAAGTTGTAGGCGATTTATGAAACAACGTTAATAGAATTTCAGTTGTTGAGCAAAAAAAATTTTTAAAAAAATACTTAAAATAACGATTAATGATGATAGTATAGGAGGTAAAATTGTTTTTTTTTGGCCAGTACTATATATTGCACCAATTCACCAATTACTCCAATTTAGAGTTTCCAGACTCGCGCAATTTAAAATGCATTTTTATGCGATATACGAAAATTCAAGTATGCGATATCAGTGCAAATAAAACTTAGTATTGTATTTATTTTTTGTATTTTAATAAAAAATACACCCCGTAATTGTTAAGTATTGTATATCAAAAAAATATGCATTCGTGTTGATATTAGTCAATATTAATATTTGCACTAGCTGCATCAAAATAGATACTTTTATTACGCATTTTATGTGTCTAAAATGCAATTGCATGAGTCTGGACACTCTACTCCAATTATATCAATACCGAGTGGTGATTGGTGAAATGGTGAAATTATTTCACCACTCTTAGTTTAATTTCACCAGCATCTTTAGTTAGAGCTCATCATATAAAATCGGACGACTACCCCTTATTTGGAAGCGTGTCTAACTAAAATTAGGGGAAGAACGGTTGAGCTCTTTTATTGGTGCTTCAAGAAAGATTTAGACTCCCGTTTTCTGTATTTAACTATTTTCATTTTTTTGTTCAAAACTTTAGAAAAAATTTCCGCTGCATCTACTTCAATAAACGTTTTGAATTTTTTTAAACTTCGAGCGAAGATTAAACTAATCAGAGCATTTTAACATACCTATCAATGATATAGCGTTACACTCAGTATTATATAATTTATCGTTATGGTTAGACGAAGTGATATCCAATCAAATATATATAGCTCATTTTGCGTTATTTTTTCGGTAATTCTAAAATGCACCTATGGTGTTTAACACCATATATATATATAATATTATATTTATAATTGAAGTAATTTTACAACAATAAATAAGAATCACCGTATTTTTTTAAACCAATTTGAAAATTATTTTTTAAAATACATGTACTTATCTGAAATACGAATTTAATAATGAATCTTAATCGTCGTAGGGAGAATAAAATAGACATGGAAGCCTTTGCGCAGCTTCTTAAAAAGTATGACTATGGCCCTATAAAGTCTTGGGATCCCTCATTAACAGATGCTGTTGTAAGTTTATAATTAGTTCTTTAATTTATGACATAAAACTTAGTCTTATAATGCTTAGTCTATCAGAATTTCTGTCTTGAGTCACTGGATCCTGTTGTAATTCATGTCGGAAAAAAAGATTATGCTGATGTTGATGATTTTGTAAATAATTTTACTATTATGTACAATCAAAGTACGTACAAAATAATTTATCTGCTCGTTAGTTATTGCGTATTTTCTAAATATCTAATTATATTTAAGCCAGGTTGTATAAAAGGGTTACCAGCTATAGGAAATAAACATAAGCAATCCGGATTGGCATTTGGAAATATGAACAAAATTTTACATGCAGAATGGGAAAAATTGACACCACAGATTCGAACGTAAATATCACAAATTATATATTAGAAATTTTTTTATTTATTATACTAATAATTATTTATTAAAATTAAGTGTTTTAGAGGGAAAAAGTATATATAAAACCAACGTTTATTTCATAAATAAAGATGCTGTCCAGATCCATCTCAGAGAACGTTACTACACTTATTTAATGTCTCCGATTCACATACGTCAGAAAATTATTGGCGCGATAGTTTGTTGTAAGGATACAACTGATAAGGTTCTAGGAATAGAAAGAATACGTTTGGTGATTCGAATTGATGGTTAGTAAATTTTTAGTAAATCATCACTATTTGTTAATAAAACATTATTAACGTCTATTTCTATTTATATAATCTTTCCCAGAATTTATTAAGGAGTTAACCGCTGAAAATCCAAAAATAACTGAAATTAGGGAAGAAGACAATGAGAATTCCGGAACCTTGCCTCACTTATGTAGTAAAATCACCAAAGATAAAGGAGCCATAAAAGATTATTATTTATTCGGAGAATCTCTATCTCAACTTTTCGATTATTACTATGCAGAATTTTCCAATAAACAACAAGCTCAAATGGCGGTTAATGAAGAACTCAAAAAACAACTACCTAATATTACTACGGATGCCCGTAATAAAAAAAAAGAAAGAGCCCAGAAGATTTATTCTTTCTTTAATGATATTGGTTTCGAAAAAATTGAATTGGTAAAATCTTTTTCTGCTGACTTTATTTCAAAGTTAAACATAGAGCAAATCGAATATGTAAAAGACATAGTTATGAAAACTGCGCCACAAACACGTGAGACCTTATCGTAAAATTGGTTCACTAAATCGAATATTCGAATATATAATTATTCAATAATTTAATTCATTGAATATTTACACATATAAGAATAAACTGGTCACGATTAGAAAAAGTATCAATCTATTTGTAATATGGGTGTTACGTATTAAAACAGCGATTTTTTGAAAAATTATTTTATTTGATTTTTGAATAGATATCTATTCAATAAAAAAGTTCGTCATAAATAATAAGAGCCAATTTACTTATATTGATAATCACATCGATAAAAAAAATCCAATTTTGAAAAATTTTATTAAACATATCTAAGGCCATACAAACTTAATGGTTCGTGAATTATTTGCATTTTTTTTATAGAATTTGAAATTATTAAGTAAAAATTGAATAATAAATTAAAATACTAAATTATTCAATTAATCCAAATTCTATATTTTTACTTCCAAATTAACATCGCTAAATTATTCAATTAATCAAAATTCTATATTTTTACTTCCAAATAAACATCGCTAAATTAAATAACTTTCAGTAATTTTGTTTGTGTCTAGAACATTTGTCACATTTAAATTTTCAATTTCTATTGCTTTTTTAAATTTGCAATCATAAGTACTGTGACTATTTTTAAAATAAAATGAACATTGCAAAGATACAATGTCATATTTTAATGGTGGAGGAAAAATAATTTAATTCAGTTGACAAAAATTACATGCAATTTATTTATAAATTAATACATTTTAACAATCTAATTTTTTTAAGAGGTAAGTTTAAATCAATCCAAAATTCTATTATTAAATCTCAATTACATCTTTTTATTTTGTATTTAAATTTGTTATAAGAAAATCTCTTCAGATGTTATTAAATTACCCAAGTTTAATTTTAATGAGAGCTTCCAGCTCGCTATAAAATATTTTTGTATTGTATTTTATTTAATAATGATTACAATACAAAAGAAAAATATTTTTAGAGCGCGAGCTGATTTATGCGCCGCTGAATTCTCGACACTCTAATCGGGAAATGTCTCATAATGCAAATGATACAGAATCTATTGAGACATCTTTAAACTCTCATGATGCAAATGATGAGGAATTTGTTCGACAACTTGAAAATCTTGATGCAATCACCTCAAATTATGCAACAGAATCTATTGAGACATCTTTTAACTGGGATGAAATAGCCGCTGGTAAAAACAATGTCGAAGGAGAGTGGTATCTTATTGCTTTTCGATCTATCGGAAGTAAAGATGCTAACATTAAAAAACTGGTTGAAGCTGAAGCCGAAGCCTATAATGAAGCAAAAAATCATGGAGGCTTACTCAAGGTAAATATTTATATAACTCATGTAAGTTTGTAAGTCTTTTATATACTCATCACTATTTGTATCATTTCTTTTATAATTTTAAAAGTATTGGTCCAGTGAATTCAATCAAAATCGAGAATGTCTTTCGTTGTGCATTTGGAGAAGTATAGATGAAGCAGTTAAAGCAAGTAAAAAACCTTGTCATGCTTTTACAGTGGGATTGGCCAGCGCGAATTATGAAACATACAAATTAGAGAAATACAAGCTAAAAAAGACGAAGGGTGAGATAAAGATTAACATTACTGAACTTAAAGACAAAATTTTATTATCACAAATCACATGACTCGTAACATAATAGTTATTCATACACTTTATTATTCTTTTACATTTTAATGAATTAATCTTTTTTTAATTTCTGCGTTTACATGATATTTAAACTAATGATGCGAACCGTAAATTTTAAATAATATAAATAATTTACGGGTTACTTTAAATCTATGCTTTATTGCAAAAAGACTATCATATGTTTTGAAGCCATTAACCTGAAATTTTATAATTTTGTATTTTGTTTATTGATTCTCAATTCAAATTATTTGATTAATATTCTTGGAAATATATAAAACTTAAAATCATTATCCATGTTTAAATCATAAAGAAACAAAATATTATGTACAAATGAAATTATTGATTTGAACCAGTTAATAAATAAAGATCCTCAAAATTATTTCTTTGTTGCGAAGTCTTCGAATTACGTATAATGATGGCAGTATTGCGATTATCAATATCCCAGCCAAAGATGATAAATATTCGTCTCATCAAATCTGATAGTGCACATGTATTTTTCTATTTAATATTTTTTCAGATGTGTTTATTTCCTGTATCAGAATTCATATTTACTTTTTTATTTTTATTTTTATTTTTATTTTTGAATTTACCTTAATATTTAAGGTGCGCTTTATTAAGTATATACAGTGACAGTATTACATATTACTATTCTATAATTCTTTAAGTAAATTTAAGGTCAAGCGAAGACCCTTATTTATTGTGCAGGGGAGTTGTTTGAGAACAGTAAGTTCTTTGTTTAAATGATGTATAATAATGGTTGGGATATTATGCATGTTTATTACTTTGCTACTCCATTTAGAGGAGGTGTATAGGTACCAAATTTCATAAACAGTATTGATGTTTAACCACTTAACTGCTCTTTTAGTGGGTGTATAGGTACCAAATTTCATAAACAGTATTGATGTTTAACCACTTAACTGCTCTTTTAGTGCTTGCTGTGGGAATTTGAGTGAGGAAAATAATATCATTGAGAGAGGTAGGTATCGTTATACTTGGAGTAATATTTAATATTTTGTAGCCTAAATTCCAAACCTGTTGACTGATAGGGCATTTTAAGATAAAATGTTCAATAGTTTGTAGTTTCCCATCACACCATACACAGTTGCCATTTTCTGTTGTGACCATATGTCTTAGGCGATAATCAGTGGGAGGGCTCTGTAGAGAAGCCTCCATAAGATGTCCATCCTTTTATTAGGTATCCAGTGACAGTGAAGTGGGGCTTTTAAATTCAGTTGATCATTGACTGGAGTATTCTGTGTAATCGATGTATTAATTGATTTGCTTCTAAGGAACTAAACTGTTTTTTTCACAGAGTATGAGTTTCCTTGTTCATTTGCTAGTGATATAGATTCGGCAGTCCAAGGCCATGGCTCTTTATTTTTACCAATTGATCCTTCTGCCTTTTTCCAGGCCTTGACAAAGGGCTTCCATCTGTCAGGCCAGTATTTAGTTTTTATGGGGTTGCGGGATAGAGCTAGATTTATTGATATTCCTCCTTTATTAGAAATTTGCTGTGTTATAATGTCTTTTTCTATTTTCGCCCATAGAAAATTTCCAGTTAAGAGCTTAATCCATGTATTAATCATGCGGGCCATTAAAATATCTGTGAGTACTGGGGCTTGTAGGCCGTATGAAGAATGTGCTTGTTGGAATATTGAGTATCGTGGTAGTACATTTGAATTATATTTGATACTTTTTGATATGAGTTTGTTAAGTTCTGATATTTGTTTATATGAAGGAGGTAAAAGGGTGGCTGTATACCAGATGCGAGATATGATTAGTGTATTAACAGTGAGGATGCGACCTTTAAGAGATAAGTTTTGGGTATTTAAATTGTCTAGAATTTGTTTTAATTTTTGAATAGTATTGGGCCAGAGAGAACTGGGTGCATATCCCTTGTCATTTACAGAATATCCCAGTATTGAGATTGTTTCGTCTTGTTTGAGAAGTTTAAAGTTTTCCATGCCCTGAAGTATGATATTTTTAGCTTTTTCTATGAAAGGTACAAGAGTAGATTTGTGTTTATTTACTTGTGCGTTAGAGGCTTTTTCATATAGTGTTGAGATTTTATTAAAGGCAATCCAGTCTGTATTTGAACTCTTTTATTTTCTTTTTATTAGCAACCTTTTATTTCTTTCTTTTTGGTTTTCTTTTCTTTTTATTTTTTTTCTTTCCTATTTTAATTTTTAATTCTATCTACTATACAGTATATATTATCTGTATTTTTGAAAAGAAAAAAATTAATTAGAAAAAAATTAATTCTGAGACAAATCTACTAAATAAGAAAAAAATCGCAAAAATAATACGGTTTATTAAAAACTCAGTTTGTTCTCCGACGGCATCTTGATGGCGTAGGAGAATGAAATGAATTTGAAATTATTATTAATATGGCTTTCTTGTATTAAATAAGAGAGTTATTGATCACAGAATAATGTCAATTAAAGTGTCAAATTAGTGTCTTCATTGGGTTAGTTTAATGTTACGTGAACCATTAATAATATTCCCTCAATTGAACAGTTATGGTGACAATATAATATTATATCGTTATTGATTGAAAATAAGATTGATAGGCAATTTAATATCTCTGAGATTCATCATCGCGGAAATCATGGAGTCATACCTTTTTCTAAAACCTCTCAATTTCACAATCTTAATTTATAACTCTGAAAGTTTACAAATCGTAATTATATAATTTATAATCTTGACAATTTATAATCCACTCTTAACAAATACATCAGAAGGTACGATTATACGTTTTGACAATAACCAGTTAGAAAAATATGTAAATACATTTCATCCGAATGACTCATTCCGACACCAATTTTAAAAACGATACAAAGAAATTTATTAATAACTAATAGTTCTAATTAATAGATGACCGAGGTGTATTATATGTTGGAATAAATGCAAACATTCTACTACTAATTTCTTCACATTCTTCCTCCCCTTCATCATTATAAATGTTCTTTTCTTCATTCCTATCGTTATCCTCACGACTATAATTACTAAAATGATCTTTGTCCAAATTTTCATTAAAGATCTCTTTTATAAGTCCTAAATTCTCTTCAATGTGAATACTAAATGTATAAAGAAATTGAATTAACTTTATTAGCTTATTCACTGAGTTATTCAAAAAAGGAATTTCAACAATTCCTAATCTTCTCATCCGATATAATGGTACGATTCTTCTATCAATAATAAACAATTCCAAAACAGTTTCTAAGTTTACAATAGATGTATTAATTTTTATATTTTATTAATAAAAATAAATATCAACTTACTAACCATGTGCATGTAATAAATAAACCTTGATTTCTTACATTTTTACTAAATCATAATTATGTGATTTTGCATAATTATTAATTACAAAATCTAGTGCATCTTTTCCACATTTTGACAATTTACTTCTGTCTTTCTTTATATGTACTTGAGCCTAAGAAGATCGATTAAATGGACCATTTGAAATTTCTCCCAACATGAGTTCTAAATCAAAATGTCCTCTACTTTCATATACTCCATATATGTTATTTTTTTTAACCGGCCCTTTTTTATTATTTCTTTCCAAACTAGCCTTACTTATAATTGTATCCCTATATAAATAAAATTTATTATAAAAGAATTAATAATTAATTAATTTAGAAGTTTAACATACCATCTAATACATATATCTGATTCTTTAAAATCTACAACAAAATTTACGATTGGTTGTAAAACATAATGTGCCCATGATGATTCATTAAATTTAGTTGAACACGATTGTAATATAGGTATTCTCCATAATCTTTTATAATTAAATAGAAATACATAAGATTTTATTTCATAAAAATTTATTAGATTTATAGATATAACTTATATTGAATCAATTAAAATCCGAGTTTTTTGGTACAACAGACGATCTCCATCATTCGGTATTAAAGCATTACCAGCCCTAACTTGGTTTATAATAAAATTCTTTAGTCCATTGGGTAATAGCTTGGGCAATAAAGTTTCTTTAACACTATTCCATAGCATTATTTCTTGTAATGCCTTCTTAATTGGAGAGCTTGAAGTATCCAAAGCTTCAACGTTCAGAATTTCAGAAAGTAGCAAGTCATTCGAGCTTAATTCTACTTTTGAAAATGTATTGCTAATTGCCTTTACAATCTCTCATAAATTTTAGCTAATTTGGTTTAAACAAATGATTAATATTTAGGTATAAATTAAACTCCTAAAATTAATAAAATTTTAATTACATTTGTGATCCTTTTTTTTGTTTCAATTAATTCCAACGGTTCATATAATGTACAGTCTAAAACTTCATGCCAACCTAGTCTTTTAGCACAAGATTCAATATATACACCATATTAAACATAGGTGTTATGGTTTTGAGTAGTATTGATAAGGTCTATTAAAGTTTGAAGCTCTGACTATAAAAAAATTCACGATTTAGTATAAATATAAAAAGTAAGCAATAATTTATTTTAGTATACTTCAAAAATTATTTCTAAGTGAAGGGCTATTTCTTATATGAGGGATTTAATTCAATCAAGTCCCATTATTTAAGAAGTATTTAAATCATTTCTAAATCAAGTCCCACACACTAAGATAAACAAAGTTTATGAAAACAAAGAACACATAAATATATACCGATTATTTAACCAAACGAATAATAAATTCAAGCTCCTAAATGTAGGGGATTTAAATTAGATCAAGTCCTACATGTTACGAGGTTTGCATTTATAGCTTAAAAATTATTTGCATAAATCAACATATAATGTCTTTAATTATGACTTAAATTATTCTTATGTGTGGGAGATTTAGATCATTTGGTGCTACGAAGCAGAAACGTACAGTCGACAGATTTTTATGCATGGAAATTTATATATAAACCAAGTCTAATAAATTAAGAGAAATTAATTCATCATTTAGACAAATTGCATAATTAAATTAGATGTCAAATAGAATGATTATTACTTACTGAATGATCATTACTTATCTTTTTTTTTTGTTTTCTAGAAAATGTGATATTTAAATCTTGTTTTATTTGACTTATATTTTTTTTAAAATCAATTTTGTTGGTAATCGCACTAAAGAGATAATAATGATATAAATTTAAGGTTAATCCTTTTCTTTTAGCAAAATCGAAATAAGATTCTTGGCCCATTGTATTTAGATTTAAACGCGAATTCAAAAAATGATAACGATAACGATTATTAAATGTAAACAATATGTATGATGTATATCACCACGCATATAAAAGTTGAACCATTGATATTACACAAATGTCACACATTCATTAGCCAATAAAATTATACTGTTATTTTGCTAGATCTTTGTAGACTCACGAGTGTCCCGTATTAAAAGGGCCATGTTTACATTTAACTGTTAAACAATTTTAATAAATCAGATTTAAAAATGATTTACAAATAGGAATACATGTTACGTGTCATTTTTAAATTCTGTCAATTATTAATTGACGCATGTCACTTTTCAATTGAAAAGTGACATACATCATTTTTCAATCGGTATAAAAAAAAAAACTAGCAGGAATATTTATCGTATTATATTTAACCAAAAATATTCAAATAATTAAAATCTACTAATGGAACTAAAAATGTTTGCTTTGAGTATGATGAATTTTTCTTTCTAAAAGAGCAAGATTTAGTACTGCAATTCGTTTTTCGGCAACTGCAAGAATTTGGACGAGTCTTTCAACTTGAACTATTATTATTTGCACTGTTACTTCAATTCAAATTATATGGCGTTAGTTTCAGTAAAATTTTAATTGAAATTCAAAAATTTTATTTTATTTTACTTACTTCAGAAATGTATAAGTTAAGTGATCTTGGGTCGTTCTTACATAGTATAAATTGTATGACTCAAGTGTTGAAAATTATAAGTTTGACGTTCCTGAATATTATAAATTGGACGTGTAATATTTTGCTTGGTGGGATTTTTTAATATCTTAAGACATTCATTGCAACGTTCTCTATCCATCAAACTTCGTTTGATTTTTTTTTCGTTCGTGTATGTTTCCAATATTCTGTTAAAGTCTCACGGGTTAGAGAAGAATAATTTTGTAGATTCATTAGTAGAATGAAAAAAAAATATACATGGTAAAAAAATATTTTTCAAAATTTATTTATTTATCATTGGCATCATTAATAATATGATCTGCATTAAGAATTGACCTGGGTCATTTATCAATCGATGAAATTTAAAAATGACAGGCGTCAATTAATAATCGATGTAAATTGAGAAGTGACGCATAACATACATATCGTTAATAAGTTTTTTTTATGAAATAAAAATAAATAAAAATTTTTACAAAGATTTGAACCCAAAGTGGGTTCAAATAAACTTGGAAATTCAACATGTGACAATTGATGATAAGATTTTAAATGATTCACCTGACTTACCTGACTTAGAGTTGCTAAAAAAATTAAACAAAAAAATGAAATGGATAAATTTGGTCAATTCAAATTTAATTATTCTTTTATCTGTCTATATCATTATTATTTCAATTCTTTCAATTAAGATGAATCTTGATTATCCTGATACCAACAATCAAACTTTTGCATTAATCGTCTTTCTGATTGGTTTATTATGGGTTTTCTATATTTTCGCTTTACTTTATCTGCTTTTTAGTAACAAAAAAATACTGAATAAGAAAGGACTATAAAAAAATATTACCTGTTTTTTTTATTGTATAATAAAATAAATTTGTAGTTTTTAGATTAATTTATAGATTAATTTATTAGGTTTAAATTTATATTTTCTTTTCATTGTTAAAAATATACCTGAATAATTTATTCAAAATAGATGTAACAAAATATCAACAGACAAACCTTTTATCAATATTGGCATGTACTATTGGAATGGCCTGTCAACTAAGTAGATATGGTCCCTAGTAATTTAGCTTATTAAATTTTTTGTTCAGAATGATTAATTAGCGACATTTTTTCTATATAAAAAAAATATAAAATTGGTGTTCTATAACTTTTTTTGGATTTTCAGGTTGTAATTTTCTTTTTTTACAAACCCGAATTTTTTTACTTTATCTATACTATTCGCTTAGACATTTTGGATAAATTAAGCTAGCTGGTAATTTTTTTTTAAATTAAAGCTAAATTTTGGTACTATAACTTGCTTTGTATAGGCCTTCTATTAACTTATTGCAATATTGTACAGTACAATCAATACAATATTGCGAAATTATAATAATACAACATTTTATGAATTAATCTTGCTACGCTATATTAATTGCTTTAATTTAAGTATGTTTTCTTTTTTAATAATTTATGTAAAATTCTTTCTTTTACTGTATATAGTGAATTACGTTGTTGATACAGTAATTAATACAAGCCGATGGGTATACATATATATGATGACATTTGCCGCAGATAATCGTGAAATCAGATGATGGTGAAATTTGGGGTCTCCTTTTGAAAATATAGACCCTACTAAAATCTACTTATACTCTTTTCTAAGCAACTCTAATCCTAAATTCTAACCTATACTAAAAAAAATCTAGGATAATACACCCTAAAAAATTCTAAAATTTCATATTAAATTAGGTCGAAATTTCACCATCATCTGATTTCATGATCATCTGTGACAATATTTATGCGATAGTTAGAAGGCTTGTTCGAAGATACAGTATAATGAATGTTGAGTTACAGTATAATGAATGATATAGTATTTTATTGATAAAGTTAATTATATAATTTATATTATATAAATTAATGTAGTATATAGCATGTTGATCTGTGAAATGAATATATATACAGATTATTTTTTGAGGTTCATTTGAACTACAAAAGTTTATAATAACTAAATAATTAAAAATTCGAAATCTCGAAAATGAATATGAAAGAAATTCTTCAAGAAGAAAATTATAAATTGGTTTCACATTTTCGAGATGTGATAAAAACGCACAAGAAATTTCGTATTTGCAATATTATTCTGTTTTTTATATCTATTATTGAGGCTTTATTGTTAATATAATTTTGCATAAAAGTTCAAGCTGATTTTATCAATTTTTTATAGAATCAGATAGTCGAATTATTCATATTTGTATACTGAGCCTTACGAGACAATTGTTCATAGAACTTTTGACAATCAACCTGAACTTTTATATGAGTTTGGGCATAAAGATTATGATGGATTAGTGCTATATTAAATAGCTTCAATTTATTTGAATTGGATTGATTTTTTTATGAATAGAATTTATGGCAGTGAATAGTTTGAACATCTAATATTTTGTAAAATTGGCTTTTATTTTATTAAACTAATATTAACGTAAAGTTAAATTTGTATTTATTATGTAACGTT